CCGCACCCATCAGCGTGGCCACGCATGTTCAGGACATGACATGCGGACGTGTGAGTGTGCCATCTGATCGGGGCGAGATGAAGGAGTTTCGGGAGCAAGAATGCATGCGTTTCATTGGCGATCACTCGCACCGACCAGATGGCACACTCAGACGTCCACGTGTCACGTCCTGAACAAGCGTGACCACGCTGATGGATACGGCGCTCTATGCGACAATGGGGCTATATGCGGCAGAAGAATGGATGCGAGGCTCCAATATAGCCCCGCACCCACCAGCGTGGCCACGCATGTTCAGGACATGACATTCGGACGTGTGAGTGTGCCATCTGATCGGGGTGAGATGAAGGAGTTTCGTGAGCAAGAATGCATGCGTTTCATTGGCGATCACTCGCACCGATCAGATGGCACACTCAGACGTCCACGTGTCACGTCCTGGACAAGTGTGGCCACGCTGATGGATGCAGGGCTCTATCTGATCGTCGCCACGCATGTTCAGGAGCTGTCACGTGGACATGTGAGTGTGCCATCTGATCGGGGCGAGTGGTCACCAACGAAACGGGACCCGCGAATGCAGCCCGAGAATGTTGCGACACGCCCTTCGAGATTGTGTCGTCACTTCAGATATTTTCTTGAAGTGTTACTCGCTTGTCGTCAATATGTTGTCTCTGTCACGAACTGCGATATAAGGATTTCAATCGTATGTTGTCGAACACGAGAACATGGTTTCTCATGAATCGTGTCTCTTCTGGATTGCACATGGAGTTTCTTCACGCCGAATCAATTTTTATTGCGCTCGGTTTGTTTATTCGTTTCCCACGTAAGTCACGTCATGCAGCTCGCTCGGCGTTCGGTACTGTATCCGTAAATTGTCCTCCACATTCGTCGAATTTTTCACATTTTTCGCCAATCTTCCTCTCGCCGACACGAACAATTTTTTCTTATATTTCTTTTGTGTCGTTTTATTAACGGGTCACATTGCGAATTCCGAAATGGACAACACCATCCACAGGATCTGCACATGGAGAGACAGAGAGCTAAAGATAGACTCTCTCGCTGCACATCTTGTCCTTGTCGACGTCTCCATCGATCTTAGTCTCCCTTCCATGTCTATGCGGGTTTTCTGCCTTTCTCCAATCTTTGTCTATCGCAGACAGTCGCTCAACCGATCTCAGGTTGGTGCCCCCCTGAGTGCAATCACAGATCAGTAATCCGAAGACTGCTACGACACATTCGAAGACACAGGAGGCGAACGCGAATTCAAATTTTTAAACCCTATCAAACCTCATGTCAACAGAACGCCGCGAGGAACCCTTCCGCTGACTTGGACACAGGACAGGACACGGAGCGATCAGATGCTAACAGGGTATTGTCGACGGCGACATGTTTGACCACCCAGGAGGACGACAGCCCACCCTGTCCATACCATCTCGTGGTGGCGCAACAACTGACGTATCC